TTCCCCACATCATAGACGTTGCTGTTACTGCCATTAGATTAACAACTTTTGCTACAAGCAAAGGCTACATTCTAGAAGACAGATGGTATCACACTCTAGATATTTTAGGGATTCATTAGGACTTATTGTGTTTCTTCAGGGACTGTAAATACGTCACCCAGAGACAAATGAGTTTCCTTTGGCTCTAGTGTCGATGATGTGTGAGTTTTTAAAATACTGTTATTCTTACACTTTACCCCAGATTAGCATTTTGTATTTAATTAAGGTCATGTCTTTTATATGTCACTGAGAAATGCTATTGTCACATAAGTTATGACGATAATAACAATGTGTTATAACTTATGTAATATGATTTACCTAGGCAAGGGCCCGTTTTAACTTAATAACTTCTGAAGGATTGATTTTTTTCTATAGCTCCACTTAAGAAGATATTCTTAATCAAACACATTGACAGTAGATTTTTTAACTGCTATTTTAAGACTGTTTTCACTCAGTTTACTGGCAGGTATTTAATCTGCTTTAAAAAAAAAAAGTGTTACTCAGTTAATTAGGTTGCACTGACATCTGCTGGTAAGATAGAAAATTCCATTAAAATCATGTTTTATAAATGTCAGTAGAATCAAATAGTTTAATTCAGTCTTTAAAACTTGTATTTGCATTCTGGGTTTAACAAATTAGTGGCTTTACCTAATGATTTCTGATTCATAGTTCAATTTGATTCAAGTGGTTTGTTAGCCTGTTGCAACTTTTTTGGGGATCTTCCTGAAGGCCAGTGGCAACAGATGCTTGGTTAAGAAGTAAAACATCTTTTATTTTTTAATTAAAAAAAATTTTTTTATGTTGGAAAATAGCTGATTAACAATGTTGTGATAGTTTCAGGTGCACAGCAAAGTGACTCAGCCATACATATACATGTATCCATTCTCCTCCAGACTCCCCTCCCATCCAGGCTGCCACATAACACTGAGCAGAGTTCCCTGTGCTATACAGTAGGTCCTTGTTGGTTATCCTTTTTAAATTTAGCAATGTGTACATGTCAATCCCAAACTCCCTAACTATCCCTTTCCTTCACCCTTCCCTCCCTGGTAACCATAAGTTCATTCTCTAAGTCTGTGAGTCCGTTTCTGTAAAACATCTTTTAAATCATAACCTCTTCTAGTCAGTGTTTAACACTGAAAGATGACATCATCAACTTCTTTTTTATCCCATCATCATGATTACGTCTTTTGGTCCTAAAGCAGTACAACGGTAGTGATGTTTATTAAGTTAGTTTTCACTTTGAGAAAGGATTCCTGGAAAGATAGGCTTAGGGTGTAGGGAAGGTTGTAAGCTCCAGCAGAGCTAAACTCTAGGGAATATTTTTTTTCTTGTCAGGAAGTATAACGTGGCTCCTTTAAAACCTACCAATTCAACACTGATTTAGGGTCACAGAATTTTACAAATGGAAAGAAAGTTACTAATCATTTAGTTTACCCCTCTCCTTTGTAGATGTGGAAACTGAGACCTAGATAAACCTACAGAACTCATTACCTAGCTGATACAAGAAAAATGTCTCTTAATTCTCTCATTCCAGGATTCTTTCCTATATAAATTGTCTTCACTAGCTGTTTATTAAGTTTATTGTTTAAACCAAAAATACTTGACCATACATAAATACGATTATTTGAAAATTTGTACTTAGTTTACTTTAACTTAACCATCCTGACTTTCTCTAACTAGAGATGTGTTATGAAAATATACACTATATTATGTAATATTGCTCTGTAGTTCTTCAGAAATATATGTTTATTCATAGGTCCTTCCCAGAAACTGAAGCTCTATTGTCTATTTCTTCAGATGTGAAAATGGAAAAAGGCAAGTGGATCAGAAAAAAAAAAGTCAGAAATAAACCTTAACCAGGGAAATTTCTGGCTCCTTGATCAGATTTTGGGTCACAGAATTATGCACCAGATGTCTTAATAGTAATATAAACATGTTCCCCCCCCACTTAATTTTGTTCCAATAGGCACTGTTATATAAGATAAAACTTTAGGAATGCAACTGGCAGTGTCATAAAGTGTTAGTTACATAGATAAATTACCAATCAAATATTCTATAATATATCATGCACGTTTTTTCTCAGCTTCAGCACTATTGACATTTTGGGACAGTTAATTGGGGGCGGCAGTGCTGCAGCATCCTCCCTGTATGCCAGTAGACTGCTCCCATTTGTAACAACCAAATGTGTCTTCAGACATTGCTAATGACCCCTGGGAGGAAGATCAGCCAAGTGAAGAACCACTGCTGTAAATTAAAGCTGCTTCCTTCAGATTTATTTATTTATTTATTTATTTATTTATTTATTTATTTATTTATGGTACGCGGGCCTCTCACTGTTGTGACCTCTTCTGTTGCAGAGCGCAGGCTCAGGACGCGCAGGCTCAGGACGCGCAGGCTCAGCGGCCATGGCTCACGGGCCTAGCTGCTCTGTGGCATGTGGGACCTTCCCGGACTGAGGCACGAACCCGTGTCCCCTGCATCGGCAGGTGGACTCTCAACCACTGCGCCACCAGGGAAGCCCCAGATTTATTTATTTTTAATCTACTTAAGTATTCTGACCAAAAATTTTGTCCTTTTTTCTTTTTAAATAAAATAAATATTGATATATGAAAAGAGAAAGAGCCTCGAGTCATCTCTAGTTTAAATACTTCATTTAAATATTTCATTCTGAGCCAGAGCTAATAAAGTGGGTTCCTTAAATTGTTTTCGGTACTTGCATATTTATGTTCACTTCTTTTTATGCGCTAAGGTGTAATTTTGACACAGCTACTAATTCACAACCAAGTTTTTTTCACTCTCAGCTGAGCTGCTCTTTATTTGTAACGGCTTTTAAAAAATTCTTTCATTTTCCTGATACTGTAAAGTTCTTCCTACACGTTGTGCCCTTTGAAACCAAAAACAACCAGTGAAATTTTAGGGCAGGTATTTTCAACCCCATTCAGCAGATGAGGAAATTTAGTGGAGCCAGGACTCAGTGCATGTTTCCAATGAATCAAATGCTCTTTGCGTTTCATCCACAATAAGTATATTTTTGAAAATATTTGGGTTTTATATTGAGAGAGCCTTCATGAATGGAGAGGAGGTGGAAGGGGAGAGAGAGAGAAAGTTGGAGGAAACTAGCAGAAAAATAAAAACTGGCTTATGAAATAGCATGCGGTAGAGGATGATCAGATCTCACCATTTATGTCCTCATAGCTACCAATGAGATTTAGCACCTCTGTCTTCCTCTTCCATCACAGCATTGTCCTCCACTCCATCCCCTTCCTTCCCACTCCCTCTACCTCCTACCCTCCCCACTGTCACCACATGTGCACATAGGTGTGCGTGCACATAGGCACACACACACACACACATACACACACACATTCACTAATCCACTCCTGACTTTGTGGTCAAAGCCCTAGGTCTTTTTAAGAGGAACCATTGTGAGCATTTTTTGTTGCTTCCAAGTTCTTTTTTCCTGGGACCAGCAAAGAGCCAACAATTCATTGCCTATACTCAAGCCTGGGAGCAAAGAATTTCTGGAAGCACTTCAGGATTCCTGAAGCTTACACTGTCCTGGAATCTTTCATTTGACAGTTGATTGCCTGCTTTTTCAGTCTTCTCAACATGGAGTTCTTAACACAGCCAGAGTCCTTCCAAATTCTGCAGCGTTTGTGCATGGCAAAAGAAATTAAGAAAATTTAAAATAATATGCAATGTTGGGAATCTGATGAGAAACAGGTGCTCTCAGATGTGGTAATACTATAGCTATGGCAATGTTTTCTTGGGGATATATAGCAATATGTATTAAAACCCCTAAAAATATGAAGACTAGATAGATCCAGGCATTGGACTTGCTGGACTTGATTTTAAAGAAATCATTATAGGTAGGCTCAAAGAGATCTGTTCATGGCAAGGACACTTACCCAAATGTTGTTACAATAATAAGAAATTATCAAACAGAATAGCAATATGATTGATTATATAAACTATGGTTTACCCATCCAATGAAATACCAAACAAATCATGCTTTTAAAATATATGCCTAGAAAAGTCAGGAGGAATAGACACAAAAATGTTTAGCCATCGTTAATGTGGTTGGGGGCTTTTCATTTCTTCTTTATACTGGTCTGAATATGCCAAAATTGCTAGAATGAATATGTACTGTTTTAACTAGAAAAAGGGCATTTGAAATAAAGAAAATGAGATGAAAATTGCCATGATTATGCAGAAACACTGTTACGTAGAAACATTTGTTACGTAGAAACAATTTCCCAAATATCGCACCTGGTGGGTCCGGGGGCCTTTCTGATGCTTGAGAGGTGAGTTGAGTAGAATGAACTGCCTTTACTGTCAATGACACACCCCAACATCTTTCCTTTATTGACCATTTAAAATGGGCAAGGCACTGTGTTCATACTTACACAAGCTATCTCCTTTATTCCTTAAAACAAACCCCTGTGTAGATATTATTCTCATTTTTGCAGATGAGGAAGTTGAAGCTCCAAGAGGTGAAGTATACACGAGATGCAGGAAGGATTTGAGCCCAAGGACTCCACTGGCACATTTAACCCCTAAGCTATATTGCTTTTCTGATGTAGCTTTAAGCCTGAGCATCCTCTCTTCTCCAGATCATTTAGAGCAAGAATAAGAGGGTGCAGGGAAAAAGAGTTTTAGTATATGTCTAGCCTCAATCAATGCAAGAGTTTTTGTAACACAGACTGAACTTCACTTTGCTTTCATATTTGCTCTATAAGGTCTGAAAAATATGATATGAGCAACTTAAGTGATGCTGAAGATAAGTTTAAGAATACAAGATGAGAAATAAAACCTGAGAATATTTTCCCACTGGAAAATTTTCCCATGGGCAATGTAGCTAATACCTCTAATCTTACTCGGAACAAAATATGAGAATATTTGAAAATCTGTGTAAATACCAACCACGAAAGCATGAGTCTGCTTAATTAACATAGAACATCTGGATGGTAAAAGTTTATTTTATTTATCTGCCAATCTCAAGAGGCAAAAAGTCACTACCAAGGTTGGACAAAGCAGATAATTAACACTATAAATTTTTAGTGAGGCTGCGAGTTCTATTGGCTTTCTCTGATGGCATTAAGATACATACACATGCCCATGTAAAGGAACAATATACACTGAGCTAATTGCACAGAGACCTCATTGTTGGAACATTAACCATGATTATTTTCATAGCTTTGCAATTTTGAGAATATAACGGCATAATGGGAGCAGAAGGGGGCATAGGAAGAGGAGAAGGTGGCAGAAAGAGGCCTGAGTATTCCTTTCCACCAATAGTGAACGAGGACCAAACACAGACACCATGTGGAACAGATACTAATTCACATAACAGGAAGTGGGCAACTTAACAATCAGCTGATGCAGACTCCCTGTGGAATTCCTCTACTATGACTCAGGTCTCTTATTTTTTCCTGTATCTATGTAATTGAAATGATCTCTGGATCTTTTGCTGTGTGGAGGGAAGAAGTTCTGAATGCAAGAGATTGACTTAGTGCGTAATACACACGTTTTAGTATCCAGGAGATAACCTACGCTTTTATAACAATAAAGATCATTTGATAGTAAGGGTTGTAATTTCTGCCAGTTCCTACTTAAACATTCTTTCAAAAGAGTTATTTTATACATGTTTCTTAAACAATACATACTTTATGTAAAATCTAAGAATTAATGTGCAATCTCAAAGTCAGATTCAGTGACAAAATGCACGACCTGAATCTAGTAACACATTTACTCCTCACTGCATATAAGTTGCATGTTAAGAAACAGAGGCTGCACTTGTGATCCATGCAGTAAATGTTCATAAAAATCAAGTGAACAACTAGACATCCTTTAGCTACTAAAATTAACCCTCCCAGTCACAACAGATGTCCACAGAAATAAAAGCACTGATGGTTACACCAAAATCATGCTGGGATAAGTTAGTCCTGGAAAGGGCTGGTTGGAAGGACCACAAGGGAAGTACTGATAGTCACAAAATTTCCACTCATTTTTATATGGGATTGAGACTATTCTCTCCTCACATGGCTTTTCCCTATGCCACAGGCTTTTGTTGAAGAGGCATTTCAGGCTTCAAATGAAAATAATCATCCTTTAATGAAAAAGCTGAGAAATACCTGTCCTGAGTTTCTGATCCTGGAAACAGCTTGCTAAAGGTCCTTAAGGCAAGTGCCAGGAGTCAAAACAACTGTAGAACATTATCATAACACTGTAAATCAACTATACTTCAATAAAAAAATTTTTTTTAAATTGTAGAACGGTCTCAGGATGTAAACAATAAAATTGTTGACCAAGGAATCATATCTGTGGATGAAAACTTCTCACAGGAAGACCTATCTGGGTAATACCAGCTTCTTGGGTTTTGAAGTGCCTTTAAATTTTATATGCTAGAAGCCCTAAGCACCTTTTCCCCCTTGTAGAGACTTCTGGAGTAGAAAAAAGTTCATGATGTGCTTAAAGATAAATAAATAAATAAACCGACCATAGCATGAAGAAGCTACTCAAATACCAAGCAGTTTTGAGTTTGTTTTTGTTTGTTTTACTTTCACATTTTACTTTTGTGGTTGGCATATGGAAAACCAAACTGAGAAATCATAATGTTGGAGTATTTTAAGGGCATGCTGTCATAGATGTTAACAAGCTTATTTATACAATAAGACCTCTGCAGAAAGTGCTCAGCTCGATGCCACATTCCAGAATAGCCACCATTGGTTTCTTTTTCTAAATTGTCTATGTTTACAGGTTTCACAAATACCCCCGAAGTCTTCCCAGTGTGCTTGGCAATGATAAAATTCATGGCAATATCATCACAGTTTTGCGTTTCATCTAACAAAGCATGGACAGCTGCAGGTTGCCTCTGAAAGAGTTCAAGGTATTTGCTATGGAAGAATGAGGCTCCAATCAGCACCAGAGAGTAATGGTCACCATTTCCAAACCCTGGTGTTTGCAGTTCAAAACCTCCGTAACTGTAGACACCAGAGGAAGTAGACACATGTTTTCTTGGAACAAATCCTACAATTTGATCAGGAAATTGCTGAAAAGATGGAAAAAGAACAATTAAGTGTGGCATTTCTTTAAAGCTGACATGGTGAAAGGCAATGATTTACTACAGAAAGAATTAAACTGATTTGTCAATGTTATTTTATTCCTGGCTTCTACATCTCAATTTCCTTTAACTCCAGACAAATTCATAAATCTATGTACTGATAAGTTTAAAGGTCAATTCATCATAACCAAATATCTAACAAAATTTCTAACCTCACAAATATTCTCCTAATTTACATTATCCAATATTAATAAATTCGAGTTACCAAAGAGTCTGGTTTTTCAGAGTTTGCTATAAGAGAAGTTGACTGTATGAATGATATTTATTACAGGAGATAAGAAGATATAATGTGATTATTTTGAAAAATTGTTTTAATCTCTTAGGCGTATATAAAATTATGGATTTACATGTATCATTTTACTGTTTTTCCATGTTGATTTCAATGTTTTTGAAAGTCACCATTGATTTTAAACGATGTTTATTTTTATCTCTTTTCAGCTTGGGTGTCTCTTTTTTAAAAACATAAGGAAAAAAATATATACACACATATATACACAACACACACATATACAGTTGAGCCTTAAACAATGCAGGGGTTAGGGGCACTGACCCCCTGAGCATAGTAGAAAACTCGTCTATAACTTTACAGTCAGCCCTCCGTATCCACAGATCTGCATCTCTAGATTCAGCCAACCACCGATCATGTAGTACTGTGGTTTGTATTTATTGAAAAAATCTGAGTATAAATGTACCTGTACAGTTCAAATCCACGTTGCTCAAAGATATATATATATATATATAGATATATATATATATATATAGATGGATAGATAGATAGATATAGACATATATATATAGATATATAAGATGTGTCAGGATCTTTGAAGGATAGTATTAAAACAATAATAGTAGGATGAGAGTGACTAAAAATAAAACAAAAATCAGCAAAGAAAAGCAGAGAATCATGGAAAAGAAGCATGAACTTATAGAATTAAAAGGTTTAGTTCAATCTCACAAATAACTTGAGTTTCATTCATTGACAGAACAGACACTAAACTAGGGACACACGCACACAAGTCAGGGTGGGTTAAATCCCATTTCAAAGAACGCATAGTCTAGAGAGGGTATGATACAGATATGTGAACCAGGAATTACCACACTGTGAAAAAGCTGTAAATGCAGCTGTGCAATTCTCAGGGGGGCACCGAGGACAGGATGACAACTGTGCTGCTGGGAAGCAAAGGGGAATGTCAAGGGTTGAGTGTAAAGGCTGGGAGCCTTCAGAGAAGATGTGTCACTTAATCTATGCGATGAAAGAGATTTCACGGATGAATGGAGGTGGAAAAGGTAAAGCACTGCAAGTGGAGGTGATGGGTGAGTGCAAAGGCACAGATACCTGTCTGCTCTAATCTTCCTTCTCTCTAGGCCCCAAATCACTACACTATGCAGGGCACTGATGGGACAGAACTTTAGGAGTCAAATTATCTTGCGCAATGGATTGAAACTGTTCTTGATGGTTTTATGAATAAAACCTAAAGTCATATTTATCCATCTTTAATTATGGTTTACTTGGATTGTTCTAATTAACCACAGTTCTCATATTTCCCCCCACCCTGATATTTTCAGGAAATTGATTTTTTACCTGAAATAGAAATCTCACAGCTGGAGCATTACATTAGAACTTTTCGCGTAGGAAGCTTTTATTTATAGGGCTGGAAAAACTGCTGATATGGAAAAAATCTGTTGATCAGTACACTAGGCATGAAGCTGAAAACTGAAGTTTTGAGAATGATGATATCTGCAGAGTACTGTGACCACTTACCATTAATACCTAATGTTGTTACATCCCAAGTCGCTAATTAAGGAGAGTTACTATAGTGCAAATTAGACCATTTATTGGGTAGCACAGTGTTTAATTATTGGACAGGGCTTCAAGGTATTTGTATGCAGTTCTGGTTTCAGGTACTTGTAGTGCAACTTGTAAAAGCTGTCTACTATTAACACATATTCAGTAGGAAAAAGGAGTTTTTATAGATACCAGGCAATTTATGCCTGTTTATCCCAGCTTGGAATTTAAGGGGGTGGGGGTGGGGGAAACTGCCACTACAATGGTCCATGCAGAATTATTATCAGTATTATTAATTTTTAAACAATGGTCTCAGAATCAGAATTAAATTTTATGGATGTAATAAATTGTTTCTTTCAAAGGAAGTTCTGTGCAATATTAATACAGAAATACACTTCTCATTTGAGATACAGGCGAAAGTGCCTCTGGATTTTAGTCTTTGCTCTATCATATACCAGATTGTTGTTCTTTGGAAGTTCAGTTCCTCATTGTTCCTCATTGTTCCTCATTGTTCTTTGGAAGTCAGTTCTAGCTCTTCTTTCCAATATACCAAATATAAATCAAATACAGATAAAAGATACTGTAACTTTCAGATTAGCTTAACTGAGCTCAGGAAATCTGATTATGACAAATTCATCTACCTTTTAGATAAATACTGTCTACGCTGGTTTGGGTAACTCTCACATTAAACCATGCTGCTCTGGTTAAACACTAGATCAGACTTTATACGGATGATTTCATAAAGGATGTAGCAACATTACCTGCCACACGGAGAAAGCAAAAACAAGGTCTTGGGTGCTAATTAGCATGTCATCATCTACCATTAACACCGCTGAAATGAAAGGAAAAAAATTTAAATCAAACAGTTTGGAAGTGAAGACAGAAGTTATAAGATACAGTGGTGTTTTTATAAGTCATTCAAATGAAGTATTTTCTGAATGAAATTCAGTAAATAAAAAATGTATTCTTGGAGAGATTTGTCTAGCAGAAAAAGTTTTTACTTGAAATGTAATTGATTTTTATAATTTCCTGAGGGGGAAATTATCATGTATTTATCATCCATTATCCTAGAAACTAATGAACCTATAAATAAATAAAACCAAGGTTCTTTTAAGCAAATTACAATCTCATGTAACTGCTGAGTGGGAGGAAAAGGAGGCGGCAAAAAATACATTAAGCATAAGTTAAATGGCATTTTACTAACTTCTGTGATGCAGTAATATGTAATCATAGCATATCTTCTTTCACAATATTAACCTCTTTGTCACTGTTGCAAGATATATGCGATTTCTTCCCCAGGAGACTGCTTCTTGACATCTTGGAAACTGCCCCTTAAGTTTTTCAAAATGCTTTCTTATGATTAAATTTCCCTATCTTCTCCAGGCAATTAAGACAAGTAGAAGGCCCAAAAGCCACGCACCCACCCCCAGCTCTGGTTAGCTGCAGCCCTGCCAGACTAAGAACCCAGCTGCAACTCACCATTGGTTTCCAGTTCAGGAAAGACCTGGAGTCGATTCCTCATCCTGTTTGTTGTCTGTACTTTGAAGATCACAGGGACAGGGTGAGGCCCTAGAGAGTTCCATAACTCATCTGGTCCCTTCTCCCCAACATTGTTCCACACCACAATCACTTTGTGCAGATATGGTACTGCCTGATAATGATTTAAAAGTCTCAACAAGAGATCTGTTCTGTTGTACGTCTGCATTATGAGAGTAAAGGAATCCTGGGTGGACTTGCCCTGGGATTTTATTTCCCTACGCAAAGTGAGCATCTTGTCTTCTTTGATATTAGGAAGTAAAGCGGTCAAAGCCCCAGCTACCAGCAGTAACACAAGGATTACCACCAAAGAGAAACGAAGTACTCGAATCCCCATCACTCTTCCAGGGAGTTTGCAGATGTGGCAACACCTGGAGTAGAAATGGAAATAAAATGCAGAATCTTAGCATTCTTACTAGTTACCATGTTTTTGTTTTTGCTTTTTTGAGGAGAGAGGTTAATCATCTTTTAGCTGACTCAAGTTCAGTTCACCCTGCCTCTTTGAAAAGGTGATTTGGCCTTAGATAAAAAGTACAGTGAATAAAACTTTCCTTCTGGGCCTGCTCGCTTTGCAGCTGCAGACAAAGGGTTATCTACACACCGAACAGGAAGAATTAAGCAGTGCATTTTAAAATTTGCCCTCATTTCATTACTAAACATTTGGAACTGAGATTATTTTTTTCAGATGGGATTATATTTTTCTTGGTAGTATACTAATTCCTTAAGCAGCTTTATTGAGATATCGTTGACACATAAAAGTTGTATATATGTAAGGTGTACAACTTGATGTTCTGATATATGTATATTTCAGTACACTAACTTTAAACTTACATTTTGGTAGCAAACTTTTTTCCAAGTGAAATCATATGCAGAACCCTAATATATGAAATAATAGTAATAGCAGCAGAAGCAAACAATTATAGTGGGTTTATTACATTCTAGGCCCTGTACTATGTGCTTTGCATGTCATAGTACGTGCTTACTCAGTAAATTAAACAAATAACCACTGAGCACTTACTGTAGCATGCACTGTTTTAGATTCTGTGAATATAGCAATGAATAAGATAGACAAAGTCTCTGCTGTTAGTAGCAGAGGAAATAGTAGGGCCAAACAGATAACAAAGTAAATAAACTCAAAGCTAATTCAGCATGATGGTAACGAAGAGAATAAATCAGAATGACATGATAAGCAAGGGCCAGATTATGGGGGATCTTGTTGGCCTGAGTAAGGAGTATGGATTTTATTCTAAGTGAGATGGGAAGCCATTGGAGGGTTTTGATCAGGGGAGCAACAGAATCTTGTTTATATTTTACTAGTATTATTATTCCCATTTAATAGTATTTGGATGCTTACAGAGGTTAAATAACTTTCTCAAGGTTACTAAACAACTGAAGTAATGGATCTAGGATTTTTATCCAGGAAAAAAACTCCTGCCAGAGCCCAGGCTTTTTCATCATCATGGGCTGGGGAGTGTACTGCCAGTTTCAAATGAGGGATGTGCTGAGGTAGGGCTCTTGAGCTTCCAAAGCAACCTCCGTCACAGAACATGAGGATCACCAGGTATTGTCATCAGCTCTGGACTCTCGTATTCCTCACTATACCTACAGGATCTGCCTGAGATGGCTACAGAAGAGTAGGCGAACAAAAACCAAGGGATGTGGCCTGGAGATTTATTGGTCAAAATTTTTTGTCTGATCAAAACTCAGTCACAAATGTAAGGAAAGGTCAAATCTCATACTGTTTTACAGATACCCAGAACTCTGATTTCTTGGCTTCCAATACAGTTTCATTATCACCCCTACTGCCTCGTTTTGGAGAACTGCTGGCTTTCAATTGCTGCTGTTGTTTGATTCTTCTGCTATTTCTGCTTTTGATTTACTTACTTTACTTACTCCTCCACAAGCCTCCACAAGCTTTTGAGGGATGGCCTCATTTTCCATGCTGGCAGCTGAGCCTTCAAATACATCTCAGCACTTTTCCTAGATCTATTCTACTACTCTACTCAAGTACAAAAGTCTGAAATGAGGAAAAAGAAAGCTTAAAGAAATTTACTTATAAAAAGACTGAAAACAAAAATCAACCAGCAGTTTCTAGACATATAAAACATATCTTTAAGAAAAAAAAATAGATCTCTCAGAACCAGAAAGAATGAGATATTATTATTCTTGATGACTTTAATTGACCCATGGTCTATCCACTCTTACTACTTTTAATACAATTTTTCCTCTCAGGCTATACAAAAAACAGATACCCTTATCTATTCCTTATTACAGATAAATAATATCAAGTTGGAAAAGACTTCTCACTGCTAACTCACACCTGTGGTGTGCTAACTGTGCAAGCCACTGTCACTGTTCTTCCTTGTATAACACTGCTTCTGTACAGTTTATTTTGGCTTCCTTCATGAAAAAGTGCACTGTGTCTGTATGTAAGCTCTTGATTTTGCACCTTGTGGTTTCAGTTGGGCATCTGCAGCTAGGCCACCATTCTACAGACAATCCTAAGACTAGTCTAAATCTTCCTGTCTAACAGATTAGGTTCCAAACGAAATCTCACTTGGCTATCCAAATGATGTCCGATCAGTCTTCTGTTTTTCATCGAGGAAACTTGGCAGTGGTGGAGTTAAAGTGACAGTCACATTCCCCGATCTTGTTTCACGTTGGGAGGTGTGTTTTGTAACTGTAGCAACAGTTTTTCTCTATACAGGTCAGCAAGGACATAGAGAGGCCATATAGACCGTGCCTTTAACATCTCTCTTTAAAGTTCACAGAAGTGGGGACTGGAGAATTGCAAGGCTTATAGGGGAATACACCCCATGATGTGATAATGCGCTGAGGCCTGTGCAAGCAAAGGAAGAACTTATTCATAAGGACAAGGGAATGGTCATTGTCATTCAGCAACTCTCACTTTTCAAAAGTCCAGATTTGAAAAGAAATGTTCCCTTGCAGTAATCTTTTTGGAGAGCTTTCAAGGATATTCTCTCCTGGACTTTCTCTGCAGCCTGTTCTGTTAAGAAAAGAAATTTTGTGTTTCTCCTTTTATCATAGCTTCACTCTAAGATACGAACAAAATGAATTATTTTTGAAGTAACTTCAGCTTTACCATGATTACTTTTCAAGGATGGTGATTTAAGGTTTGAGGGCACAAATCTTTTCACTGTATACACCCTTTTACTAAAACAACGTATACTGTTAATGTGGTAAACCAAAGAGAAACCATTATGAATTAATAATCTTGGTTCAAAGGCCTTGATAATCCTTCTAATACTGACTCAAAAGCAGGTCTCATAAAACATATTTTCAGTTCTGCATAAAAATGGCTGGTTATAAGCACTCAGAGTTAAGAATCCTGACAACTGCATTAAAGTATACCCTGATTAAGATCTTTATGTTCATTTTCTTCAGCTGAGTAGGAGTAACATACTATAAAACTTACATAGCAGTGTCTCTAGTCTCTAAAACAGACATTAATAGCTACCTGGCAGTTTTAGTGGAGAAAAAGTAATGAAGATTCATCTCTATAGCCTACTATGAATATACATTGTCAAAGATAATCGTGAACGACTGTTTCACTTTTATCTACACTTTAAAGTGGGAGTTACCCCACTTTATCTGTCAGAGAAATTTCCTCTTTCAGATAGCTTCTAATCCCCTATTTTACTTGTATCAAAAATGTTTTGAGAGATATAATTTATATCTTTGGAAAGACAATGTAAATATTTCATGTAGTATTTATTAAATGATATCGCCTGATAAAATTATGTTACATTTGCAGTCTACATAGAAAAGCAAGAACAAAAACTTTATAGACTGCAGTGCAAGGGGCATCTCTACTTTGAGAATAGCTGAAGTCTGGAACTTTATTGTAGGCCTACTGGAAACAGCCTTAGAACAGTATGGAGAGTGATGATGAGTTCACAGCTATCTGGATTTCAGTTTATAGCTTTCTTCTGTCCTTTGTCCAGAGAAGAATCTATCACCTAAATCACAGCTTTGAGTTTTGAATGGGGGGATATGAAAATGAATACATCTGGATAACCTATGCCTTACTTAGAAAGAACCAAGAATTAAAATTATTTAATTTAAAATTATATCTATTGATATATATATTTCCTGGCACCCTGCCTCATTCCAGAAAGGATCTGACAGTTCTTAGTCTATCCCCTTTCTGCCCTTCTTCCATCTATGACTATAGTAAACTAAATGTGACTTTGATAAACACAGTAAATGTCAGCAAAACAAAAATCCTTCTTTTTCTCCTAATCATCTGCAAAATCAAAGATCCCCAGATGATATTTTTTGCACATATGTTAACTTATTTAGTTCCTCGTGAGTAGAGAGCACATCCTTTTAGTTATTTTGATATGGTTACATAGCATCTCCTAGACCAGCGGTTTTCAACCAGGGACGATTTTGCTCTCTAGGGAACATGGGGCAAAGTCGGGAGACATTTTTGATTGCTGTGACTGGGGCTAGGAGATGCTATTGCTCTCTGGTGGGCAGATGGCAGTGCTGCTGCCAAACATCCTACAATGGACAGGACAGGCCCCACAGCAAGGAATTATCCAGGCCTAACATGCCAGTGATGCCAAGGTGGAAAAGCCCTGCTCTACATATATTTTACCTTGAACACGAACACTGCTAGCCAGGTGGCCCCTGAAATCCCTACTGCTATGTATTACGCTCAATGAAGGATAAAGCAATGTCTCCAAAACTGCCCCAGTATCTATATGCCTTATGATACAAACACATCATAAACTCAGAAAACTGAAAGAGACCTCAGAGCCCTCCTAAGCCAGCTTCCTTGTTTCACAGATAAAGAACCCAAGGTCCAGGCATAAGGCATTTGCCTGAACTGATGCAGATGCACATATACTGTCAATAGAAAATCACTTTAACAACAACATATACATGATCATCAGTAGCCAATCTACGTCCTGTCATTTAGAAAGCTTAGGACTATAGACTGCATTTTGAGTCTATAGTTCTGAAACAGAGGTGCTAAAACATATTGATAAATAGCTGAATTTCCTACAGTATCACATTTGAAAAACAGAAGTTGCTGCAACAGGTCATTTCTCACTTCAAGCTGTTAAGGAAAGAATTTCTGCACTGGTCGCATTAAATTAGAGCAAGTTCTTCTCCTGGCAGCAAGATTGAGTGAGCCATTCCCTTACAGGTAAATCAAGTTCAAATAAACACCGAAGACACCATTTAAAACAGACAGCAGACACTAAGTACCTGTGTCTCTACCTCCCTCCCTAATCTCACCCTGTTATCAGTAGCAAAGGCTGCCTGACAGTCCTGGCGTTTTGTTTTTCCCCTCCTAAGCATCCTGTACAAAGCATCAAATTGCTTCTCAATACTTCTTCAGGCAGCTACTACCAATTAATTAGATTTGCTTTCTCATCATTGATTTAAGAGGAAATAACATAAATATTATGTATAAAGGCTTCTTAAAGCACTGCGTCCTTCAATCCAGCTATTTGTTACTGAGGCAGTGAGGCCTTCTCTACCCTCAAAGTGCACAGGTCTGAATTATGCTAGATGAAAGTTCCTTCTCATCTTGCATCTTTCTCCAGGAATTGACAATTAATTGTATGATAATGATGATGGTGGTGTTTGGAGATGACCAAACTTATGGGCATATATCAGGGCAGGAGAAGGAATGGCCTTATTCTTAAGAGGAACATCCACGACTTATAAGGATCCAAGGAGTCAATGCATCCTAAGAAGAAAGCCTAGAAATAGAAAAACATTTTTAGCTCAGTACAGTGCCATGCAAAATCAGTTCCAGAAATGGGTCAAAAAGAAGCCAAGTACATCTGCAAATACATTACTTTTACCATTCCAGGACACTGAAGCTTTTTACTTGAACTTCTCTCTGTTTTAGTCACAGGAAGATGGAGGGGAGGCAAGAGTGTTGGGAAACAGAAACCTGGAATATTCTATGGAACCCTCTCCCTTTTATACAACACTGGTTTTCAGCAATAAACTCACACTGCAAAATCGTTTCTCTAAGAGAAACAGATTTCATACACATGAATTATGATTTGTAAATAGCTTTAGATATTAAACCTAACAAAGACGTAATCTTAATTCATATGAGCTTCCTAACTTTATTAGAGGAAGGTCAGAATATCCATAGTAGTTATGTCAGTCTATAAACATTCCTAGGTGCTTACCATGCACGAGCCCAGCACTGTCAGGCACTAGGGATGGTAATGAGCAAGGCCATCAATTCCTGCCCTCACAGAGCTTAGCAATAGTAATGGAAGTTGTCAGACCTCTTCCCTCTTTATGTTACCTAACAACTCAAATCAGTAATGTTTCAAACCTTCAGAGACACGGGAATTAAAATATATCCACCCCATTTTGTAGATGGGCTAGCTGAGACTGAGAATATTAAATGATGTTTCCTGAGCCACAGAAAGAGTGGTGGGTCCAAACAAACTCCCGACTCTCACACTTGACCTACATTGTATTTTTAGTGTCTTTCAAGTAGTCTCTGTTTTCAGCTTTGTTCTAGTCTACAAGAATATTTCAACTTTGTAGGTATTGACTTTATACTATAACCTGGAATACTATTTCAATGGATAAGATCTAAAACAGGCAATACAGTATTTTCTAACAGACTCTGGCTCAAGTAAAAACTCTTATTTCCAAGGAAACAAAAACACCTCTATAGGAAACAATTTTTCTCAGATAAAAATACTGGTATTTCACTTATGTCCATGGCAGCATTATTCACAATAGTCAAAAAATGGAAGCAACCCAAATGTCCATTGACAGATGAATGGATAAACAAAACGTGGTACAGACATACAATGGAATATTATTCAGGCTTTAAAAGGAAGGAAATTCTGACACATGCTACAACATGGATGAACCTTCAGGACATCATGCTCAGTGAAATAAGCCAGCACAAAAGGACAAATACTCTATGATTTCACTTACATGAGGAATATAGAGTAGTCAAATTCAGAGAAACAGAAAGTAGAATGGTGGCTGCCAGGGGCCCAGGGAACAGAGAAATGGAGAGTTGTTGTTTAATGGTTATAGAATTTCAGTTTTGCAGGCTGAAAAAGTTCTTGAGATTGGCTGCTCAACAATGTCAATACACTTAACACTATTGAGCTGTACACTTAAAAATGGTTAAGATGGCAAATATTATGTGTATTTTACCACAATTTTTGAAAAGTAAAAAAAAAAAAAACTGGTACTTACCTCATTATGGTAAAGTTTTAATTTTTGAAAAAAATTTTCCTTATGGCTTCAGTAATTGATAGGAACAGGCTCTCTTGGCACTATTAAGGGAAATCAAAGAATTTTCTGTGATGTTTTTGTCAATCACCAGGAAATTTAAAAAAAATGCTTTTTAATGCTATCGTCCATAGGCTTTGAATTATTTTTAGAAATTAAAATTTGCTATACTGTGTTCTAAAAACTACATTTAGGCAATTAGGTAGGTGCTACCTGTCAGGTTGGTGCTAACATTGCTATATTTTTTGTTTGCATCTTTCTCTTAGGTATCCAGAAGCAGAATAAACTCACATCATGCTGATGATCTAATGTGTTTACACTTTTGAAACCAGAACATATATGCCATGGAGCAAGACCTCTGAATGCATTAGCAACCTGCACTTGTATTCAATTTCTAGATTTTTAAGTATCTGTAGTTTTATCTACCATCAAAACTCCTTTTTTCACTAAAGGTTCATAAGGCATTCAATTTGAAGTACTAAAAAAACTCAGGGTCTATAATAGGGTTGCAGGTAAATGTCAGCGTTGATTACTGAGGAATGACAGATGGCATCCTTCCTATTCCTTACTATTGCCCAAAAGGAGCTGGAACCTTGGCTGGAGATGAGCTTCTGCCCCTTAATCTTCTCGGCTTTCATTTCTCACAGTCCTTAATCACATGTCTAAGAAGTTAGGGATTTTTTCCCCCATATAGTCTGCACAGTTAACCTAATGCAATTAATTAGTAGATGATCTAAACAAATATTTAAAAGTTCAGGGTAGAAATCCATTTATTGGTTTAAAATGTTCATTAATATATCTACCTATTTTATGATCTTATAAATCCATAACATATGAAGGAATTCAGAACTGATTGGAGACCAGCAAGATACTGCATCTGTAATGACCACCTGAATAGACCTGAAGAATCATTTTTGATTTTCCAAACTTATATTCTTTTCATGATTCAAGTTACTGAAGGGGTAAAGGGATGGCTTAGCATGTATCTGGACTCATCAGGTGACAGTTGTTCCTCCTCGCTACGCCAAAAGCACCTCTTGTGTACATCTTAAATAGCATTTAGTTCTAAAATCCTGAACTGATTTGCCCTCTCCTCACATCCCGCTTCTTCTTCCCATAAAATTCCTCCAGGGAAAGAACTTTATCAGGCTTTTTAAGCTACCTCCCTTCCCCCACCCCGTGCCCAGCACAGAGCTTAGCACATAGCAGACACTCATTAAATGATTGTTGAATGAATGAAACTAACTTTAATTTTGATATGACAACATATACTGGTTAACATATATGGGACAAACATTATTTCAAGATGACAAATCACGTGAGACATGTCAAACATTTTCCACTCATAGCACTTTTCCTGATTTAGTGTCCAATTTATATTTCTAATAAAATATTTAGTATTGAAGTTGGTAATTATGTCGTCTAAGAAAGAAAGATGTGAAGTGGCATTGCCACTTTTTGAAAGAAGGCCCTCACCGGAATAGCTATCTTATATTCTGGGGAGTGAGCAGTGGGGAATTTAGGAGTTCCAGGACCACTGTAACTGAAATTAAACTTCAATTTCTCCAACTTATTTCAAAACTATTTGAAAAAGGGTATCGCAGATTTCTCCATAACCCAGGTGAACAATTTCTCATCTGCAGCAATATAGGGCAAAATGTAGAATTTATTTTCAAAGGCAGAATACAAAAACACAGGCTCAGATTGCAGCTGACCTGGATGAGTTAAGAGAACGCTGGAAACCAGTTGCTGAAATTTAGTTATTTCCATATATGCACACCCCACCCCCACTCCCAGTTACATCATACTGAAATAAAGCAGCTTTGGAGAAACACTCAATCGCTGTGGAAATATTTATCTTCAACCTAGTTTGTACCCACTTAACGTTTCCCCAGCAGTGCAGTACAGTAAAACTCAGTCTATGGCTAATATAAAAGCTTCCTAAAAATATAAGTAAATGTTACTAATGGAAAATATTTCTATGTTCAAATTAAAATAATGAAATATACGCCAAGAAAGACAAAGACAAAATACTCTGTCCAGAACTTAATTTCTGAAATCTAGCTGTTTTTACACAGCAGTTTAATTAACACGAACATTTAAAAAAAAATTGTAGAATAAGTAAATTTTATTTTCAAAAATAAAACCACAGAATCACTACCCCACACACTCACAAAGTTCCAAGAAGGAGTGCAAAACACATATATTCTCACTGCAAAAAGATTTTTAACACGAGAGCATTTTCCTATTTCCTTACCTCGAGCGCAGAAGACTGCAGTGGTACCTAGCCGATTTATTTGCTTCCAGCTTGGTTACGATGAAACGAAAGGGGGGTCTCGCTTGCTCATTTTTCATTTTTTTTCCAAACCCAGCAGCGTGCATTCACCCGGCATTACTCACCGGATTGATAACCTGGATGAAACGCTGCCCACAAAGAGAGAGCCTGAAGAAGAGGGCAGTCCCGGGTGGCCGCCCCTCCCTTTCGGTGACGCTCCACTTCCTGTTAGACTAAAAAGCCGTTCCCAAGAAGCTCGGTTTTGTAGTTTCTAGCCCACCTCCAAAAGCCAGTCCTCCTTTGCCCCATTTCTCCCCCCAAGGGTAACAACTTTTAATCATTCAGGTGATGGACCACCTGACCTTACCCAAACAATTTCCCAGAGAGGCGTTGGAAGAGGAGTTCCAACCACCGTGGGCGCCCAGCACTGGCCCGCCGGGCTCGCCTTTGGCGCTCCGCAAGCCCTCACGTCCCACCAACGAGTCAGTTTTCCCTGCACTTCCCTGAAACTGGTTATGGGGTTCTCACGAGAATTAGAGCCGCCGCGGCGGCCTCCGGGATGACCTGGAAGTGAAGGGGACGTGTAGGAACTCGAGTTTTGGGTTATGAACGGATTGAGATTGTCGGGGAAGCAATGCCTTAACCAAACCTCAATTTCAACACGGTCTCGTAGGATCTCCTTTTAAAAGGCTCTTTTAAATACCTTTAAACATTCTTTCGGAAGACATTTATTGATTGCCTCCTGCGTGGCAGTACAGAAAGGTCAGGCACTGTTTTCGGGGGCGGGACGGGGTGGATTACTAGGATTTGGGCGCCCATGGAGTTCATCCAGCAAAACCATTCTTTGCGCTTCCTGCGGACTGGCGGCGAGAGAATATGTCGCCGCCTGGATTCTTAAGCACTGCTCTCTAATGCACCAGGATTTAATGCTAATAGGGGCAATGGCGAAAGGGCAGGCGCTGGACGCCAGCGCATCCGGGAACAAGAATGGTAGGCAGTCGGAGTGGGCGTGAGTGGGCTCACAACCTCCCAGCCAGCCCAGTGTGTGGGTGGCCATCTCAGGATTTTCTTCCTGAGTCCAGGTGGCGGGACTCCACTCCAAGTCGGCCCTTTAGACCACTTAATAGTTGCCAACTCTTTTTGCCCCCACCAATACTCGCGCAACCCGACCCTCTTCGTAAGCCCCGCCCCACCGCGCACGTCCCTCCCTCGGCCCCGCCTTCCCCTTTTCCCGTCCCAGGACGCGTTGCGCGGCTGGGGCCGGAAGTCGGCGGGTTCTCCGGTGTGTGTCTGAGTCTGTCTGTCTCGAAGCCGCGCGCGGCCCGGGGCAAGCGGGATTCCCAGATTCCCATCTGAGGCGTCACCACTGTCACTACCATCACCCACGGAGCCACTACTAGAGGGGAGTAGACCCGGCCCTTCGCCGGGCAGAGAAGATGTTGCCCCTGTCCATCAAGGACGATGAATACAAACCACCTAAGTTCAATCTGTTCGGCAAGATCTCAGGCTGGTTTAGGTGCGGGGTGCCGTATTTGCGGGAAGGGGGTGTCCGGCAGAAGGGGAAAAGGCCCAGACTTAAGGATGGCCCGAGGTCCAGGGAGGGAGCGTCAGGGACACCCTCGTTCGTGTGAGGACGGGAACGGGTGGACTGGGAGGGTCCTGAAAGGGGAACCCAACCTCCTGGTCCGGCACTCCTGACTTTCCCGGCTGTTCCCTACTTGTGTCATGCTTAGGTCTATCCTGTCGGACAAGACGTCTCGGAACCTGTTTTTCTTCCTGTGCCTGAACCTCTCTTTCGCTTTTGTTGAACTACTGTACGGCATCTGGAGCAACTGGTAACCAAAGGGGAAAAGGGTTGGGGCGGAAGCAGCGGGTGGGGGAGACGAAGCACTGTTTGCTTAATGCCACGTAGCTCCTCACCAGGAGGTTCAGCTCTTGCCTTTGCCACCACCTCTGCTGCTGAGTTGCTTTCTCATATACACACCAATCTGGCACGGTTACATTTCTTAAGAGCCGAGGCCATCACGTGCAGCAGTTAAGATTTAGGTCCCCTCTTCCTTTTCCCACTTCCTCCCACTCCGTCAAACCGGAGTGACAAGTCCTCTCCTCATTTTGACAGATGGAGAGAGTCTTTTGTCCTTACTCACCTTAGCTTTGTCCACTTTCTTGGAATTGGGAGAAACGCGTTTCCTGCCACTCTGTGGGGGAGTGGCATTTGGGATTCACCCATAAACTTCCGGGAGGGAATATCTGAGATGTTCTACTTAATTTGTTATTAGGTCTTGAAACCAGGAAGAGGTTTATAAAGGGGATATCGAAAGAAACATGTTTTCATTCTCTTTTAATTTTATGCTGAAACTGTATCATGATTTTCCTTTGGTCTTGACTGCGGTAGAAGATCCCATATAGTTTTCTAAAAGCCTTACATCTCTTGAGTTGATGGTTTTTGGTGTCACCTTTGGTTGTTTTTGTTTTTAACTGCAATGGAGAGAGGTCTATCCAGTGTAACTGTGAAGATGCAGTACTGTTATCCAGGTGTTTGCTGTTGAATAACTTAAGGTCTTATAAAATTGTTCAGCAACGATAAGATCATCTCACTTGTAGGTGTACTGATTCCTCTTTAAATATCATACTCATTTGAGAATCTCATAATAGACAACACTTCAAAATTTTATATAAAACTTAAGTTTTTTCTTTGGGTTTCTTGAAATAGGTCTTGGACCCCAAAATAAGAACCTATACCATCTATGCTTTATTTCCTATTAATTAAATAGACTTAGTCTCTGTCCTTTAAGGTCCATTTTCAGAGAGAATTGCTGTTCTTGATTTTTATCTCTATTGAGATTGAACAATGACATTAGGTGATACCACCAGTTTTTGTGACATGTATACTTTCATATGAAAACGTGGACTTTTAAATTCAAATGTCAATTCAGTTTTATCAAAAATACTCAGCAGATTATGATGGTTATTGGTTTAGTCACCACTTAAGTGTAAAAGGCATACTGAAACATAATAAAATGTCAATATATGTAATAACCATTTTTAATCCTCTGGGAATCCGATATATGTGTCCTGTAATATTAACACTCTTCAATATATTACATGTTAATATACATGTTAATATACATGTTAAAAGCACTCTATTGTCTTAACTTGTATTGAAATAATGATACTTTATTATAAATATGTGATATTTATATTATATTTTATATTTTCTTCTTCCTAAATTATGCCATATTGTGGTATATGTGCTGGCTGTATCTTGGTTTGCCTACATACAGTTTTGCTACAATTACTTTATATTACAATACATTACATTTCACTATGGCTTTCCATTGCATAAATTACTATGTGAAATGTCTTGTTCAAGGGATTCATATTTGAAGTGCCTAAACCATCTCTTTATGGAAAGTAATTCTTTTGATCTGTAGAGATCCCTTGAGGAAATTACTAAAACCATTGTTTTCTAAGCCATTAGTCAATATTCATCAGTACATAAGGAAAACATCAGTGATGCATGACTTGTTCTGCCCTCAGGTAGCTTGTTCTTTTAATTTTAGGCCTTTTCTCCTCCAGTTTACTCCCTTTGTGTTATATCTTACAGATTTGCCGTCTAGCTCTGAACCACTGTCTGTCATGCCTAGATTAATTAGCAGGTATACATTTTTATGTTAGCCTCCACATCCACAGTCACTTTTCCCCCAATATTAACTTTTATCAGCTAATTGGGAGTACAAATGTGTTCCCGTTGAAGCCTTGGCAGACTTGGAAATTGCTTGGGCCTTTTCATAATCTGGCTTTTTGTCTTATTTAGACACAACAAATTTTGGGCCCCTTTGTTGACTGATCAACGATTTCTTTATATGACTAGATTATCTCTGTTCCTAAAGGTTCAATTAGATTTTAAGTTCCTTGAGTAAAATTGTTACCAAAACTTGTTTTTTGTTTTTGTCATAGTCATTTCTGTGTTCTTTTGCATTATGTAAAAGTTAAGTTTCAAGATGTTATGAAATGTCAAGAGTTTTTTTCCATTATGGAATTAAAAGATAGATAAAACATTCTTTCTCTTCATGAATAAAGGTTCTTAGAAACATTTGATCTAGTTGCAACAAATGTTAAATAGTTTTGGTTCTTATTCAACACCTTCATTTTAAATAAGAGCTTAATTATACTTGGTTTATATTTTTGTTGGTGAAAATGTGTCATCAGTGGAGAATAGCTAAGCTCTTTGTATATTTTCCCTCATTAAATATCCAGTGGCTTTTACTTTCTACTAGAATGTAAACTTTATTAAAATGGGATCTCTTCTGTCTTATTCAGGCACCTTAGTACTTGGTGCATAGTGTGCTTAATACACGTTTACAGAATGAAATAATGAAGGAATAATGAATATATGGAATTAACCTCCCTAAACTAACCATGCTAACTACCCCATTTGGGGCAGGGTGAGGGGGACATTAAACCCTTCCTATTCTTAGTAGGAAAATGGTAGGAATACCATATGTGATCTTTCCTTCTAGGGTTCTTTTCCTTCTAGCATTTATTTTCATTTACTTATTTATCGATGAGTAACTAATCTCATGGTAGAATGGTATATGTAAACAATGTGTTTTGTACCATCTAGGATTAGGTTCTTTCTCAAGTTTTAGAAAAACCCCAAATTAGTGATTGCCTAAACAAGATAAAACTTTATTTCCAAAGTGGCTATTAGAGTTCCAGCCATCCCTAGCAGCAGAATGTCCAGAATGAAAAAGTATGTAAAGTGTCTTTTAAGGAGATTTATCTGGACGCTAACACACAACAGTTTTCACTGATATTTCAGTGGCTCAACCTTTGTCACATGTTCATGTCCAGTTGCAAATGCCATATTTGCTCCAGTCAACCAGGTATTCTGCTGAAAGTCAAGGATTTTTCACAAATGAAGAAAGGGAATATGTAGGCTTATGAAATGGGAGTAGAAAGAGAAATAAGCCGGTTGGACCTCTTCTACAGGTGGAAAAGCATAGGAGGCCCAGGGAGTTTTTTACTTTCCAGAGTAGCAGAAGAGCCTAGAAGTACCTGTTATCCAAGTATTTTCTACTATAAGGTGATTCTTTCCCTAGTATCTTAATATAGTTTGCTTTCTTTGTTTTTATGCTCTTCTATTTTATGTTTACTTCACTGTCTTAAAATTCTTAATTTCAGTGATACTTTCTACCAAAGCTGTTACAACCATTTTCCCCCTTAGACATAGAGGAAACTCATTTAACTCTAAAGGCAAATGTCTTTGTATTAGCAAAGTAATTATGTGTTAAAGAAATGTTTTAGGCCATACCAGTCACTCATTTGGTCCTACTTCTTATAAAGTATGTCATAGCATATGTTTGTAAAGTACTTCCTTGGTTAAGAAAAAGGCTTCCATTAGTTACGTATTTTTCTATAGCATTAAAAATTTTCAATGTCTTAGACTTTTATCAACTTTTCCCTTCTCTTCCCAAAAGGCATTACTTACCAGGTTATGGTGATGACTTTTGCTTTTCTATAGTTTTTTTTTCTACTTTAAAAATGTAGATTTCGATTCCATTGTGCTGAGAATTTTTCTTTACAGTAAAGGGTTATATGGAATGTAGTGGAGTTGTGGGTTTTTCACTGTAACTCTCATTAGTTTAACAACTTATACAAATATCAGGATTCTAAGGATTTTCTAATTCTTGCTAATTAATCGATAGTTGATAGTTTCTTTCCCCCTTTCTATCTCATGGAACCCAAGTTGATGATTCCCTTTCTTTGATTTTGAATTAATCTCTAACAACCACTGTAAATATGCTGTTAGCCTAGTTACCAGTAGACCTTTAAAAAATTTTTTATTGTGGAAAATGTATATAAAAGTAGAGAGTTTAGTGGACTTCATGTATCCATCACCCAGCTTTAATGTTTATTAACATGTGGCCTATTTTGTTTCATCTGTTACACTTGTCACCATTGAATTGTTTTAATGCAGATACCAGATATAGTATAATTTCTTCCATAACTACTTCAGTTGAGTCTAAAACATAAGAGCCCCCCCTTTCAACATAATCTGATGTCATTGTGACCTATAAAAATTAATAATTTATTAATATCAAATGTCCAGTGAGTGTTCACCTGTCCCTTATTAAATAAATTCTTTTTAAAGTTGGTTTTACAAATCAGAATTTAAACAAGATCAATGGTATTTGGTTGATATGTCTCATACCTCTTAATTTATAGGTTCTTTCTCCCTTTCTTTGTTTTTTCCTTCAATAGACCTTAAATAAAATCCATTTCATAAGTTTCTTTTGCCAAATGTTCTGTTCACATTTATTATATTTTGCTTCAGTGATCAGGTTTCTTTTTTATATCCTAAGAAGTTTTCTTTATAAAAATGTCCTTAGAAAGTGGTCACTTAAAAAAAAAAAGTTTAAAAATACATTTTAGTATTTAGTGTTTAAAGATAGGAGCCTAAAACAAGGAGGCTGCTTTTAGCAACTAATTTTCTTAATCAAGTCACATTTGATGTGTAAATCATATAACCTTAAATATTCTCTATGCTACCTTTATTTTCTAAGGAATTTTATGCCATGTAGTTTAAGTGATAATTCATAATCAGAAACATTTACTGATATTGAAGATGAGCAGCAAAATTGACATTCCTCATGAACACTATTTTGACATATAATAGGTGAGCAGAGAACTAGAAGTAGACTTTTTTCACATGAGTTTGCCTACATAGTTGTAACTAAGTAATTTTCCAGTCATGATACCAGGTTTAGGTGAAAAGATCTCATATCACAGTGCTTTAAGAGAACGTGATGTTCTACCACCTAAGAAGAGG